TCTCAACTGATGCTTCCAAACAGGCAGACTGTGAAGGGTCCAACACAGACCCAATTGTTTTAAACAGAACACGCGAATTGTGACTGTTAGATACAATATTTGACAAATATCCTCGTTTAGCTTCTTCAACAGTCTTCTGATAGTTATGCCAACAGTCCTTTAAGATTTGGAACTACACCTGTAGTCCGTCCTTAAACCGACGCGCCGCCTTTCGGCAGGATTGTCTAGCTGCTCGAGTTTTTGTGCCAAACCAGGGTTCCGACCTCGCCCTCAGTTGCTGAATTTTTGGTGGGGCCACCAAATCCATAATGGAGCAATAGTTTTTGGCGGGGCCACCAAATCCATTATGTAGCGACAGGAAAGGTCGAACCAGGAGCTGAGTCCCTCTGCATCGCCAGCGGCCACGTCCGATTGAGCAACAGCCTGATCAAACGCAGCAACAGTCCAGCAGTAGAAGAGTTAATTATCCGGCAGCACCGGGTAGGCACACGTACTGCACCCACTGCACGGGAGAAACTAGCCTCAAATACAATAGGCATATGATCAGAAAATCATTTATACATATATCCAGATCTGATACAGGGACACCATAAGAAACAATAAGATCCAACGTATGACCCTGCTCATGTGTAGGACCAGTCATATATTGCGCCAAATCAAAAGCATCAAGAGCAGCTAGAAATTCTTTCACCAGTGGTTTATCTGGGCAGCACACATGCATATTAAAATCACCCAATAAAAGAATATGATCATAGAAGGGCATAATACCAGTCAAAAAATCCGAGAAGTCATCCACAAACCTCTTATTATATTTGGGTGGCCTATAAATAACAGCACACAGTACTTGATCAGACCGACCCACTTTGAATACAGTCAGTTCAAAACTAGAGAATGAGGGTAATGGTAGTGTGCACTGTTTACAAGAAAAACTGTTCTTAAAAACAGATGCTGTCCCACCTCCACGGCCAGACACCCATGGCGAGCTAAAATAAGAACATCTAGCTGGCAAAAGTTCATTAAAAGTACTAAACTCACCAGCATCAACCCATGTCTCTGTCAAAAAGAGAAAATCCAGGTCCCGGGAGCTAAAAAAGTCCCTCAGAATAAAAGTTTTATTCTTTATTCTTTATTCAGAGCTGTACAATAAAAGAACTGGGGTATTACACTAACCAAAACACAACTGAATCGCACGGGCTGGAAACGTGAATGAAGCCGCTCGTGTCGACTCGTCACAACGTGGATGTATCGTACAGGCCTACAGTACTCCCCCTGCAGCCCCTCACCCCCAACTAACACAGTGTGTTAAAATGCAGCAGGGAGTTGCGTTTTGCCGGACTGATGTGAAAATGTCGTCACACTCTGTCATACCGGCTGCTGCTCCGGTTCTGTTGGGGTTAGTGAAATCACGAGACAGCTTTTTTCTTGACAAGAAATAATCATGTTTTAATATTGTACGAGATCTCATGGATCAAAACATCTGATGGACTGGAAGTCTCTGCCTCATGAGAAGGGTGAGTGGCAGAAACACAGCAATGACAGTATGGAGATTGTTACGTCTCTCCACCATTTCCACAGTGAGAGCAGTCGTGTTGTGCATAACCTGTTTACTTTGCAGTTGCACCTTAAATAGATTTGGTTGCAAAATGTGACTGATCACACAATCTGGAGCCCTGCTGTTGGATTTTTTTTACTAACACGTGTTCACAACAGTTTCTTTATTGTCACACAAAGGAAAAATATAGTCACTGAATAAGACTTTTATAGTAAAACTGTGCTAATTGGTATTCTTAGTCATTCCTTAATATTGGAACATTATTTCTAGTGTTTTTATAGCTTTTTACTCTGTTCTAGTCATGTGACCACAGTCTCTTGTTCATAGTTCACCCACTGTAACATCACTTTTTGCTCCGAGTATAAATGATTTTCCGGGCAGCACGGTGGCACAGTGGTTAGCGCCGTTGCCTCACAGCGAGAAGGTTCCGGGTTCATGGAGTCGGCATGTTCTCCCCGTGCTTGCGTGGGTTTTCTCCGGTACTCCGGCTTCCTCCCACAGTCCAAAGACATGCAGCTTAGGTTGATTGGTGTCTCTAAATTGCCCATAGGAGTGCGTGTGCGCGTGTGCGTGTGTGTGTGTGGTTGTTCGTCTATGTGTTAGCCCTGCGATGGATTGGTGACCTGTCCAGGGTGTACCCCGCCTTCGCCCGACTGCCGGCCGGGATTGCACCCCCCCGTGACCCCGTTCAGGGACTAAGTGGAAGAAAATAAATGAATGATTTTCCCCGCAGGTATCACTGCTCCACCTCATATCAGTACTTCATTCATGGTTCTGGCGATGTTACAACTCCATCTCTTTCACATGAACGCGCTCATAAACTGACAGGAAAACCCGGACTGAACAGTCAGCTGATAACAGGCTGTGTGGTACTGGGTATCCAGGACAGCCAATGTTAGGCTGAGTGAAGCCAGATAACCCAAAGAGAACCAGATCAAGTTGGACTTGCTTGGTGGTACAGGCCTCTGATGACTGACAGACACATTCACACCTGAGCTCACCTACAGGTTTAACCTGCTGAATGCACATTTCTGATCATTTCTGACTCACACTGATCTGCTGTCCTGTCAAACTCTGAATTATTTAATCAGAAGCAGATGTGTCCAACCTGAGGCAAAGACTCACTTTCATCTCTTTGGAGATTAGAGGACAACAATGACATTTCAGCTGACACATTCATCACAGTTCAGACATCCTGTATGATTATTAAACTATCCAGTAATCTGTCATCACCTGGGCCATCTGTACCACCTGTTTGCCTTCATGTGGAGTCAGACAAGTGAAGCACTTCATTTCAGCCCATCTGGAGGTTATTTACCTGTCCAGTTTCTGACCTGATCTTATATGAGATCAGTTTGTGTCTCAGTAATAGGGATGCAGCGGTAGTATGAAAATTGACGGTTATCATACCGTGCACATTTGCTTATTACTTGAGGGAAAAGAGCAACGCGTGAGCACCTTTCTTCCCCGACTGCTTGTCAGACTCCGCTCCTGGCGCCACACACACACACATGCAACAGACAAAGGGCAGAGAGGACGAGGCTGAAATCACCAAACTCCATCCGCCAGAAAAGAAACTTAAACCAGCAGCGCAGGATTTGTTTGGATATCTCGGAAACGGACACCTTCGAGAGCATCGCCTCTCCGTCCACGTCAGAGTGCGTGTCCCGTTTACAACTTTAATCCCAAATAATAAACGTCGGTTATAAAATGCGCCATCAAATTAATTTTCCTCGCTGTCTGTTTGCCGATGTCTTACTTACAAAAGGATTCACACTGGTCACAATCTGACCCCATCAGGAAACAAGCATCTTTCCAAAACGTTCCTGGCTGAGTGTGTATGTGTGTGAGAGAGCGAGTCTGGATGACAGGATGAGTCTGGCTCATTGGCGTCGCTAGACCACTTGTACTGGGGCACGTGCCCCAGTGTAAATCAGCTGTGCCCCAGTAAATACATTCCCATATTTGTAAGGGTTTTTATTAGAACCTTCTTCAGAGAAACTAAATGGAAGACAGTCAATAAACCAATTGACGCACGTAAAAGAAACACAATAAAAACAAAAACGTGCTGCAAAAATGATGCTGCAGCTGCGTGTGGAAACTATGTTCCCACATGGCGTGCCCGTGTATACTGACCGCGCGCACGTTTTAAAAGCCAATCAGCATACGTCACGCGACGAGCAGGTAAGATAATGTATGAAAACGCTGTGAAAGTAAAGTTTCCATGGTGCTAGCTACACTATCTGAACAATGACTAATTCCTCCTGTAGATGGATATCAGGAAATTCTTGTTTTTTCGAGGCAAAGAGAGGGAAGCAGAAACTATTCTGACCATTGTTTAGAGCATTGTGACGGCTTTTCTCTCTGTTGTCAGATGTTTCACAAACCAGTTATTCGATTAATGAAGAAAATAAATAATAGTTGCACTTGGATTCAAAAGAGCTGCAGCTCCACTGTCAAATCCTGTTGTACATCGATGAATGATAGGCTGTTAATGTAATGATAAAATAACAGTACAGTATACATGTATAGTATAACATTTTTCTGAATTGAGCAGCCTAATTCTGGAGTACTTGGAGTATTTTTGTGATAATACTTTGTGTTTTCAATGCAGAAGATTTACTTGCAACACAATAGACTACTTTTACAGTGTGATAGTACTTTTACCTAAGTCAAGGATGTGAATCCTTCTTCCATTACCAGCGTTAACATGCAAACCAACAGGCTTTAGTTAAATGACATGTTGTATATGCTTTTTTAAAATCGTGTTTATAATTGTGATTGTTCTTTAGGGTCACTCCAGCTGTAGCCCAGCTCTATCAACTGGCACAGTTACTTGCAATAAAAACACCCCTGTGTTTTCATTCCTTTGAGGGTTGTTGTAACTGATAATGATAACAATAGTAATTGTGCAGTACCATATACCATAATATTTTCTGAGACAATTATCATACTGTGGAAGTCTCATACTGTTGCAACCCTACTCAGTAACAAACAAACTCTGCCGTCCTTCTTCACCATGAGGAAAATATCAAACTGTGACTTTTCTGATTTAAACTGTGATCATTTTCACTGATTAACCTGCGGTTACACTGGTAACATGTTCACCTGTCCTAACAGCAGTGTTTCTATGTGAACACGTCAGATGAAACCAAGTTTGTTGTTTCACCATCAACAGCTCACAAAGACTCCATCTTAAGCCAATGACCCAGAGCTAACGTTCACACTGTCAGAGTCACTGACAGTAACAGTCAATGAATCAAGTCAATTGAGAGAAAATTCATCAGCAGCTATTTTAATAATCAAATAATCATAAACGTCCTTGTTCCAGCACCTGCATTGTGAATCTCTTTCGGTTGAGATATTTTATCCACAAAACAACTGATCAATCAAGAAAACAATCAGCGTTATTAAGTGATAATACAAATAATCATTAGCTTTTACTTACAGGTCTGAATCCCGGAGGTCTCATCAAAACCCCCAAGGTGGTAACGACATGCTGAGAGTTGACCTGTAGCCTCAGATGACTCTGCTCATCATATGGTTTTATGTTCACGAATCTTGTTTCAGTTTCTGAGTTTGACTGTTCAGGTCTGGCTGTAGTTTTTCTCTCTGATAATTTTATTCAGTTTCTCTCCAGCTAAACCTTTAATTTAATCTTCATTTCCGCCTTTTCCATCACGATCTTTATTTTTCTGATGCCTGTGACTCGGTTTGTTTTTCTGAGCCAATCTTTGATGTAAACACTGCTGATGCTAACCGACGGTTAGCTTCTTAAGCTTTGTTACAAACCGCTAATGGCTAGCGTGTTCTCATCTACCTGCTTCTACGAAGGTTCTGTTGCCTTCTACTGAGATTCTTCTGAGGTTCTACTGTGTCTCTGTTGCCTGTGACTCACATGAATCTACTCCGCAGGCCACGGCTCAGCAGCTCCACGGCTCGGCGGACTCTCTCCCTGGGATTCAAACCGTCAACCTGCTGCTGCCGCTGCCTCCGAGCCTCCGAGCTTCAGGCGAACTCCTCATGGTTCAGGTTCTGGTTCATGGTTCTTTGGGTTTTGTGGGTCCTGCGTCCGTGAGAGAGAGAAGCCACTGAGATCCAGTTCAGACATCCAGCGGGGAAGACTGGACTGATCACACTGGAAACCCCCTCCGCCGCTTCCGCCCAGGAAATCCCCCAGCTGCACGGTGAGAGATGCAGGCCACCGGGGGGCGCCGTCTACTACAGGCAGGGGAGAGAGCATCAGGCCATGAGGGGTCGCTGTTTGACAGTGAATAGTATTTCATTCCGACATGTACTCGGATCCTTTACTTTAGTCAAGTGCTGAGGTACTGCAGCTTACACGTAAATCGTGGATATTTAAATTCTGCTTAACTAAAAGTACACAATAATTCACAACCTCCTGTAGTTTGTACTTGGAAAGACGTTGTTCAAACTCTATCCCAAATGCCAGCTGTTAACCTGGAGCACAATCCTCTGGTTTTTACCCATCTCCAGCCAAGCGCCATTGTTTGATTAAAACAGACAAAACAAATACTGGGTGTACTATGACTGATCGATCGTTCCTGAGTTATCAACGTATTGGCAGCATGTTACTGCTGCTGGAGATGGAGCTTGTTTTTACTACTTTATATGCAGTTAACTAGCTTAGTCCAGTGGTTCCCAACCTGGGGATCAGGCGGGAGGTGATAAAAGCATGGATTGCAATCTCAAAATCATTAAAAGAAAGGAGTGACTTGACTTTACTTAACAACCTGAGGCTGAAGAAGCTAGATTTCACAACTGAGTTGATTTGCTTGTCAAACCTTAACTCACCATCAAACATCACCCCTAGGTTTTTTACAGTTGACTTCAGATGACGAGCCAGGCAGCCCAGACCCTGGTCAAAAGAAGTTACGTTCGCCAAGTCTCCAAAAAACACACACTCAGTTTTATTTTCATTAAGATTTAAAAAGGTAAGTGCCAGCCATGATTTCAAGTCTGTCAAACAGTTAAACATTCAGAGGGGAAACATCTCTGGAGTTTGAACCAAGCTACAACTGGACACAGTTTTCCTGCAAGTTTACAAGTTCAAAAGGTTGAAAACCAGTGGTTTAATTCTCAACATTTTAGTTTCTCATGTTGATGAGAAATCTGTCACATATCTGCAGTGGTCAGATTAACAGTGCAGTA